TGTTGTTTGTGGCTCAAGATGACTCGATATCATTCATGAGGGATACACGACGACACTGGGCTGAAGAAACAACAGTATCTGTGCAGAGAGTCACAGATTCACAGAGATGTTGCAACAGATTGTTAATTCTGTACCAGAACATCTAGAAGGTTTTTGTTTGTTCTTTTGGTCTGTTCAGAGAAAGCCCACTGTGGAAACAGTTCCCGTGAACATGCTCGATTCTGGGCCCTGCTGTTTTCTCACGTCTAAAGTAGGAACAGGAAGACCAGTTTCTATCCACATGTGTGAATCGTTGGCTTCTAACATTATAAAAACTGTCCCTGCCAGTTAAACAGTCATTCTGTTCTTTATCGACATTTCCTGCTGTTTAGATTTACATTTTTTAACTTTTTATTTTATTTATTTGAACAACTCTCCTGTTTAGTACATGTACAGTTTCTTCAGAAAAACAGAGTACTAAGAGAGTCACAAACTTAAGGGAAAAAGGCAGAAAATTAGAAAGAAAAAGGAACAAACAACGTATATATAACATATATATACATATATAATGATAATTAGAAAAATAAGATAAAAGAAAAAGAAACATGCCTGTGGTGTCAAACATTTCATTCATTCATTTCAAATTCTCTTTTTTCTGTCCATCTTCATTCAGCTCTGTCTTTTTTGTTGTTGTACGTTAACTATTTTCCCCGGTCCTTCAAAAAGCGTTCTTCCTTCAGTTTCAGTTTATATGTAAAGTTCTCCATCTCCATAATGTCCTCCACACTTGCTACCACTGCTGCTTTCCTGGTGTCTCTGTCTTAAGTTTTTGGTGATGGCCTTCTTTGCTGCCAAAAGGAGAATCTTAGCCAGGTATCGATCCATCGATCCTTTACATCTACAGTACCTGCCAAGTATCCAAGATACAAAACAAGACAGGTTCTGGGAATTATATAACCTGATATATCACAGAGAGCTGAGGGAATTTTGACCCAGAAAGTGTGAATTTTCCTGCATTTCCAGAAAATGTGTGTGTGGTTCATCCCATCACACAGCCTCCAACACTGTTGTTGTGTATTGGTTTGTTTATTTTTAATCTCAGGTGTAATAAAGTAGTGATTTTGATTCTTTCTTTTGTTCTTTCCATGTTTCAACCCTCTCAGTGATTCCTTCACTCAGCTCTCTTTCCCATTTTACTCTCACATATACAGTTGATTCCTGTCTCGACTCCATCAAACATTTGTAGACACTGTTCTTGGAATAACACTTTTATATGCCAGTATAATTATTTTTATAATAGGATGGATTTTGTCTTCCTTTATTTTTACGTTTTATTAAAGTAATCTCTCACCTGTAAGTATCTGAAAAAATCCTTGTTTTTTATGTTGTATTCTTGTTTTAATTCTTCAAAACCTTTAATTTCTCCTTTTTTGATTAATAAACAAATTGCTGTGATTCCCTTTTCATTCCAATTTTTAAAACCAAGATCCAGTTT